TAAAAAAATTGAATTTTTAATGAAGAACATGTGCCAGTGTATGAGTCCTAATTCTGTAACATTTTTCAGAAAATCTCTGAATTATTATTAAAATTGGCTATAAACATCCAGAATTAAAAGCAACAAGGTAAAGGCTTTCCTGTCCCAATGAATTTACCTTAAATTACTAAATTAATATGTAGTTAATATCTTATTTAAAATTAAATCCCAATTTTTAAATTTGTACCAATTTTTTGTTTAAATGTGCGTTTTTCTTGACAAGTGATAAAAAATTTCAGACTTAACGCCAAATAATTAAAACGTCCAAATATTCCAAAAAGGAATGGGGGAGTAAATGTGTGAATTCCAAATTAGCAACACAAAAGAACTAAATTTGGAAACAATAAATTTTATCGTTTAGTACAACAGACAGGGAATAAATATTTGAATATAGAATGGCGTGTTAGAATAGAATATAATCTTTAATTAAAAATGAGTTCAGAGATTGATGAAAGGTCATGATGTCTCATTAGATACTATGAATCTTTCAAAAGAATAATTAAATTTTTAAAGAATAAAATAAAAAAAATGTTTTAATTACAAACCATTTGCAAGGAAAATGAATTCAGAAAACAAGTAAAAAGGAAATAAATTTCTTAATTAGAAATCACAGATAGGATTGACGGTTCGAAACTAAACTAAACTAAACTAAACCGAACCCAAAAAAACTACCTAATTTTTTTATTCGGTTCTTCGATTCGATTCCGGATATTCGCAGATTCTCCAAAAACTGAGAACCCTAATTTTAGATTAAAAATGATAAAATGATTATTTTTTAATTTTTCTTATAACAATTTGGCTAAATCAGTGTGACTTTTTCGAAATCACCAAAAAAGGTGGCATGGCAACTCAAAAAAGTGGAGGGGGCAAATGCCCCCCAAATCAAATAAAAGGGCCACCCTGGGCTAGATAAGTTCACTCGCGGTCAAAAGTATTGCCTCAAGTTGTTGGAAAAGTTTATATTGCAAAAACTACCTAATTTTCAAAATAATTTTCACTTGCTAGTTTTCAATTAATAATTTTCAATTTTCAATTAGTTGTTAATGTAAAGCATATAGGTATTCATTTCCTAAGGCTGAGCAGTAGGCGGCGTGGTGTAATGGCTAACACATCAGTCCGGTCTACTGAAGATGCTGGTTCGCTCCCAGCCGCCGAATAACCTTTTGCTCTAGCTAAAGGAGTGAAATAGCTATAGCCAAGCTGCTTTACTTTAAGTATGTAAATGGAAAATAAACATTAGTAAAACCAAAACTAAATCAAAATTTTTGGTTATACCAAACTTCGTACAAATCCCGTACTTTAATCCAAAGTATCAAACATTAAATTTTCTGGATGTTTATTTAATTTCAAATATGAGATTGCTCAAAAAAATGACTCGGCAATTGAAGGATTATTTTCTAAAAATATTTTCTTCCCCTTTTTTTTCATTTTCTAAATTAATTTAAATAAAAGAAAATAAAAGTACAATAAATTTACAAATTTAAAAAATTAAAAAGAAATTTTTTTTCAATTATTTTAATCCAAAAATTACTATTTATTAACTAAATGACGCAAAGAAAATATACTTTTAAAATTATGAAAAAGAAAAATGAAAAGGGCGTTGAAAATTATAAAAAAAATGAAGAGCTTTTTAAAAGAATATATTTTTTAATAAAAATAATAATAAATATTGACAGAAAAAAAGAATGAATTTTTTAAATTAATAGAAATAGAAATTCTTAAAAAATTATACGTATTCTATTTAAACTGAATTTAAACATAATAAACTGAATTTTTTATATTGGAATAAAAATTCTTCTAAGATTGGAGTGTTTAATGTTAAATTTGATTGAATAAGGTAATAGCTAAGGTAATAGCTAATGAGTAGCTAAGATAATAACCCGATAACTTCGTTCAAAATTATCAAACCCGAGACCTTCTGGTATGATTGATTCAGTTCGTCGAGGCGCACCGAACCATATCAAGGCGTCCCGGAATTGATAATTTTGGACGAAGTTATTTTTTAATTTTGTGTCTCGGCCTCCTTGATAAAAATATTTTTAGAAAGTATTTTTAGATTATTTGCATTAATTTTAGACAAATTTAAGCAAAAATCAACGTTAAACGCAATGCACCCGCTCCTAGTCATGAATCTTGCCGAAAAAATTAAGCAAAAAAAATCAAGCAAAATTAATTATTTTGAAAATAAGCAAAAAATTCACACAATAAATACTTAAATATATACATATTTTTAAGGTGTAACTTATTTGTTTTCACCTGGAATTAAAAGATCGAAATCATTTTAACTTAAAATGTAGGCTAAAAATAATTATTATATTTTAATTTTCTCATTATAAATATTATTTTGGTTTTAAAATAAAATAGAGAAGTAATTCCGAGAATATAAACATTTCTAGAAATTATAAATAAATCTTTTAAATATTGAATAATTAAATTAAATCTGATTTAAAATAGAATATAAATTAATAAATTTAAATATATTTAATTAATAACCTTAAATATATAAATAATAATTAAGTTAAATAAATAATAAAATAAAAAACATTATTTTATTTAAACTAAAATATAACCAATTAAATAAATGAATATTATATGTACCTAATTTGAATATTTATTAGTTAATTATTTATAGCCAATTCTTGAAATGAAAAGAAGAAATGGAAATTATTTTTTGGTGTTTTTATTAGTAAAAAATACACAGAAAAGTGCCTTGCATAATTAGTGCTAAAAGGAAGAAGTGTTGAGTATATGTATATTTCCATAAAAGTGTGGAAAAAGTTGGAAAAGAAGTGTTTTCTGAATAAATTTTTATTGGTAAAATTTAAATATAAAAATTCTGAAAAAGGCCCCCTTCCAATAGAGAGGGAGAAGGATTTTCGGCAATAAAAAGATTTAAAGAAATTTATTTATAAAAGGTAAAATTATTATAAAAACACATATTAGGTTTAAATTAAAGGAAATCTTTTTCTTTAATTTGAGAATTATAAGTTAAAAGAAGCTGAGAAGTTAAAAGTTAGAATTGACCTAAATTTGGTAAAAACAGAATCATTATTTAATTAATAACTTAGTTTAATTACTAACCTTTTAAAAATTATTAACTTAATTTCGGAAAATTTTAAGCAAAAATTAGAAAAATTTTTTTTAATTTTTTATAACAAGAATAACAATAAATAAATTCTCAACACAGATTTTTTAATAAACAAAAAAAACAAATATTTTTCTATTATTCTTTTGAATTTTTATTTTTATTAATTCTAGCTTTTGGAAGCATTATTTCCTCCTTTTTTATAGCTTGCATTAAAATAAAATATATATTTATTTACATACATATATTTATTTGAACTTTCGAATATCTTAAGCTTTTTATATTTAATGTATTATTTTTTTAACCGTTTAAAATAAATAACAAAATTACAAAAAATATATTTGGAATGTGTCTGGATTAAAAATTTAAAAAAAGGGGGAAATTAAAAGAAAAAAATTTTAAATAATAAATTATTTAACTAAAAGATAAATAATTTTTTTGTTTAAAAATTTTTATTAAATTTCCCACCACAAATTGAAAGAAGGAGGAAGAAAAAAATAAATAATAAGATTTAAAAATTTATTTTTAAAAATATATGTTAACCAAACATTAAAAAGCGTCATTTTATTAATGGAACAACCAGACACAAAAACAAAAATAAAGGACGGATGTAGATAGTTTTTGTGTCCTTTAATTGAAAATTAAATTGAAAGGGAGAGGAGAGATGGATATGTAGGTTTTTATGGGAATTTTATTTTTTTTAATTTAAAAATTAAGACATCAATAAACTAAATAGTAAAGCTTTTGAAAAATATTATTTTAAAGAAAATATAAAAATATTTTTTAAAGTGTTATCTCTCCTCCCTCTAATAAAGTTCAAACATTAATTAAATTATGACTAATAAAATTAGTCATTCTTTTGCTTTTTGACAAACAAATATTGAAGAATTATGGCGCGGCACGTGAGGACTTTGGGGATAATTTTCATTAAATTAAGCATTAAAGGCTAAAAATTTGGGGGAACATTATTATGTATTAATGGCCATACGTTTAAAATTAGCTGATGTTCTTTACTTTAAATTGAGCCTATAATTAAGCCAAATTTTTTGAAATTAAAAATATCTTTTCAAACAATTAACAAAAGTACGTTCTATATTCTCAAATATTTCCAATAGTTGCCCCTTTGTATCTTTGTTTTTTGGTAAAACAATAATAGTACTTTTTTCAATTTACACATATTGGATTCTTTTTAAAAAATAATTAAAGCTGTTTGTGTAAAATAATATTAAATAATAAAATAAATATTTATTTATTTTATCAAAATATTGACTTCATAAATGGAAACGTGCCTACTCCAAAATTTCAAGCACTCTTTAAATAAAAATGCTAATACTGTTATAATTCTGGTTTAGACTACTTTACTTCCAATTTTTTGGATTTTATTCTATCAGACTAACCATAACTATAATATTCTAGAAAATATCGATGTTGCGGAAAAACCGAGAATCTTTAAATTATACCCTGCTTTTACAGATATTTAGTAAAAAATATTTGAATAATAAAGCAAACAAGTCCAAATTGAAAAAAAAATATTGAAAAAATTTATTTAAAAAATAAAAAAATAATTTACAGGCAAGAAAATAATTAAAAAAGACGTAAAATATATATGGACATACATAGCAATTATATTTAAAAGTCCCTTTCATTTCCGTTATTTTTAAAAAATAAATAAAAAAAAAAATTTGTTAAAGTGATAATTTAAAAACAGATTTCTTAGACAACGCTTTAAATAAAAATTATTTTAGAAAAATATGTTGTATTAGTTATTGATAATTTATTTTGATTGAAACAAAAAAATATATTTATAATAGTTAAAAAATAATTTAAGTGATTTTCGTCGTTTTTGTTTTTTAAAAATTTCGTTTTATTTTTTAAATTAATTTTCAGCCAAATTTTGTTTTGATATTGTTTTCTCAAGTTGCGCCTGGCTATTTTTTAATTGAGCACGGACAGTAGCCAAATGTTCGAGTATTTGTCGAGAACGTGTTGTATTGTTGTCTCTTCTCATATTAAATGAACGATATTGAGAATTCTAAAAGAAAAGTTAAAAATATTTAAAGCTTGGAGTGCTAAAAGAGAAACGGAAAACCTAGAGCAAAATTCAATCGAAAAATTGAGACAAGATTTCGTCTCGATCCTATTCGTCTTAATAGTAGAAAAACACGTCCATTCTTGCGAAGGGAATATATTAGGTAATTTGGATGTTCCATTAATCGGTTATTTTATAAAAAAAACCAAAAACTGTTATCTATATCCCAATGAAATATTTACATGTTTATTTTATTCAATACAAGTTTTTCTATTTAAAAAATTTCAACCAAACTTACTTTACAATTAAACGGTTTTGGTGTAGTACTTCGACTTTTAACATTATTATTATTTAATTTATTGTCTTCCAATGTCACTTCATTGTCATCATCAATAGTTGATAAACTCTGGAGTGATTCTTGAAGACGGCGCATTGTTGGGGATCGTAAACTTTGTCGAATACCAAAAGATTCCTTTTATGAAATTTTTTGTTTTTAAATTTAAAGAAAATTAATTTAATACATTGTTTGAATTAACAATTTCATTTGAATTTTTACGAGAGAATGGAGAAGGCACTGAAGAAGTTATCAACATAGAATTATTAATTTTAGTTGTTCTAGGAATTGTTAATGAATTATTGTTGTTGTTTATATTGTTAAAAAGATCGTCCTTTAGAAATAATTTTTTAAATAATAGTAAAAGAAATATTTATTAAAAATAAATATCAGGATTTGCGAACACGCTTTAGAGGATAATTTCATTATATTAAGCATAAAGTCGAAATAAAGGATATACAAAACAAGCATTTAATTTGGTTCCGTGACTTTTGCGCCGAGAACATTTGCGCCGCGACTTATGCGCCGCGACTTATGCGCCGAGCGACTTTTGCGCCGGGCGACATTTGCGCCGCGACTTTTGCGCCGGGCGACATTTGCGCCGCGACTTTTGCGCCGGACGACTTTTGCGCCGCCACTATCATTAATAATTATGAAAAACTACAGCCGGACCTCACTTTAGAAGATGTAGGATAGTTGGAGATTATCGGATATCAAGATCCTTCCTCTAGGGGGTCGTTTTATTAGAGGGGGCTATTGTACTTCCCGAAATATTGCACTTCCTGAAATTCCTTCAGCTCCTGGATACCATTTTTTAAGGAGTACCCTATAATTAGGTCCCTCTGTAGATATTATTTTTTTAATTATGGCGGCGCAAATGTCGCGGCGCAAAAGTCGCCCGGCGCATAAGTCGCGGCGCAAAAGTCGCGGCGCAAAAGTCCCCCGGCGCATAAGTCGCGGCGCAAAAGTCGCGGCGCAAAAGTCCCCCGGCGCATAAGTCGCGGCGCAAAAGTCGCGGCGCAAATGTTCTCGGCGCAAAAGTCGTGATACCTTTAATTTTATGACGCTCACTCACTCTGAAAGAAATCCCAATTAAGGAGGTACGAACTATAGTCTAAAAATTTTTTAAAAATTCTTGATATAGTTTGGGCACTTTAAAAATTCTTGATATAGTTTGGGCACTTTAAAAATTCTTGATATAGTTTGGGCACTTTAAAAATTCGTGATTTGTTCCTTATTTAATTCTCTATCATTTAAATTTTATATGATCTCATTAACTTTAATTTTAATAAAATAAAGTGTCCGGCTACATTCTTGTTACCCTCTACAAGGATTTAATTTTATGAAACAAGCTAATAATTCCCAATAAAATGGTAATAAATCTTAACAAAATTATGGCAATAAAACTAAGTTATGGCCTAAAACTAAAAAAATTTTTTAAATGCACCTATTTTTAAGCTTAATCTTTTGAAATTAAAAAAATCATTTACGTCAATTTAAGGAAATTTTGCCAAATATCTTCAAAAGGTGGTAGGAAAAAGTCGGTTAATCCTCAAAATATATGTACAGGGTGACTTCCATACGAGGTACAAAATTACCTACTATGGCTGGAAAATTAATGATTATTCTAAACACCTGTGATCCAGAAGGAGAAGAAAGAAGTGTACGAAATTTGAAAACGTTAGCACTCTCTCTAGATGTTGTAGAAGAAGAACTTCCTGGTGAATTACTAGATTGTGTTGAAGAACTGGAAACATTTTCATTTGTTTTTCTTAAGAAAATATTTTTTAAAAATAATTAATTAGTCAGAAATAACTTTTTGAATGATTAAAGAAACATTAAAATCGGGTTTGTAAAAATGTGGTAATTATGCGACTCCGAGTGATCGGTTTTAAATTGAGTTTTTTCCCACCCCGGTGGGTGACAGGCAAGTTATCCGATTAATATTTTCTAAATTTTTAACACAAACCCATTCAATGTCGTTGAGTTAAGAATTTTGGAATTATTATCCTGCTTCATAATCAAACTATTTTTCATATTATCATTTTGATTGGATATTTTTACAGAATTTAAATTGTTATTCTTAAAAGAAGAAAAAGAAGTATCATTATTATTTAATTTATTTTGTTCTTCATTAAAATTTAAAATATTAATTTCGATATTATTTCTGTTTTCTTCTTGCTGTTTAGCTAAAATCATTTTACTGTTTGTTTTTGTTTCCTTATTTTTAGGAGATGAAATTATTTGTTGTTGGTTACGTGGACGTCTTAAAGTAAGTTGTTCAAACTGAAAAATTGAAAAAAAATAAAAAAATGTAAGGGATCATTGCTCGGTAAGGCAAAAAGATAGATTTTAAAGTAGAAGATGAAGTGAAAATTTTAAGAAAATGTCTTTAAAGTAGGGTTTGACCCCGAACGCGCGGGGGCAGGTATGTCGGGGTACGGGGTTTTCGAATTGTTTCGGGGCGGGGGCAAAATATAGTCGGGGTTCAGGTCGGGGTCGAACTCGATTTTAAAGGCTTAAAAATTTTTTACAAAAATAAAATCAAACATTTTTAATTAAATTTTAAAATATTTTGTTAATATTCAACAATAAAATAATCAAAACAAAAATATGTAAATCGAGAGTTAAAATGTGGGAATGTACAAACATTTTACTAATATTATTTGTTTGTTTAATTCAATTTATCGCTATCAAAAAGAAAAAACGAATAAAATTTAGAAAATAAGGTGGTCCCATTTTATGTATGTGTGAATGTGTTTAGCTATTAAAATATTTAGATGTTGGCCATTTACACAAATATTTTCTAAATAAAACGAGAATAATTTATTTTTTAAGGAAAGAAGTGAAAATTAAATGTAAGGAAGTAATTTTTAAATATATTCGAAATTTCTTAGTTAATTGATAAGGATTTTATTTAAAAAATCTGAGAAAATTTTTAAAAATACTTTCATAATAAAGTCAAATCCCGTTATAAAATACATACAAACTAGAGTGAAGAATGTTTTTAAAATTTGACTGCTATCGAGGGAATGCTGATAGTATTGAAATTCGACTGTTTAATAATTTTGCATAAAATTACAAATTTTCGGGTAGCCAAAAATATTTCGAAAATATATTATAAAATTTCTCAATAAATTATAAACTTTTAAGTTTTTGGAATAATACATATGTAAAACTTTGATAAAAAAATAGTTTAAACCATCTATTTAAATTGTGAGTTGGCAATTTAGAAAAGGAAAAAGAACAAAGAGTAAATTTTTGATTGTGAAATATAGAAATGAAGAGAATTTTGGGAGGGGTGAAAAGTGATGAGCAAAAGTGAAAGAATGGATATAAAACCATTAAAAGAGTAATAAAGCAAAAAATTAGTAGGGATGATTCAGACAAATTAAAAAAAGTTTCTTTTAAAAGAATTAAATAAAGCAACTAAATCTCTATCAAAAATCTTATCACGTTTTTGTCACAAATATATTTTTACTTCCTGCTCAAATCTCCATCTTCAAGCATTAAAATTAAAATAAAAAATATTTGACAACAGCTGCATTGAAAATATGAAATAAGAAATTAAAAGATAAACACAAAAATTCAAAAATCAAAAATTTAGACGCAACTTTGAACTTGACAGAAAAATGAAATAATAAATTTGTTCAAATCATATCTTAAAATAGGTACCTTATCAAAACAATAACACACATATAATACAAATTTAGAGATTTAAACAAAAAAATTTGTTTAATTAATTTTACATACTAAATACCAAAAAACAGTTTTAGTGGTTTTTTTTGATCGCGGAGAAAGTAAAAAAACGTAATATTGGAAGAAAAGTGAAAGAAAAATGTGTTTTTCAGTTGTTTAAGCGAATAGAAAACGAGTAATTGGATTAAATAAAAATTATATTTTTTATATAACAATGCCTTTGTTATAAATAAATAAAATCAGTTTAATAAAAAATTTTATAAAGGAATTACCTAATTTTATATGAAAAAATATTAAAAAATTAATTTAGAAGACGTTATAAAGGTTTTAGACGAAGAAAAAATGTTAGGGTATATTTATCAGTTAAAAGTTGAAATAATATTAAATAATAAATTTTAAATTATTTTATAAAATAATTAAAATACTACCTATATAATGTTTTAGTAACTTTATTTTGATTTTTCCACAATAATATTTTTGCAGAAAAAAATAAAACTAGAGGGATAATAATATTTAGAGAAAAGTCCCAATATATTTATTTTGGCCTGAATGAAAGGGAGAAGTCAGGAAAATAAAGTTTTTATTAATACAAAACACATTTACACGCAAGAAATAAACGTTTAATAAAAAATATAACCCAAAAGAGCAACAATCTCGTCACTTATTGTTAGTGAGGCTCTTTGGAAAACAACAAATCTATAAAATTTGATATTCGGTAAGTTGATCTTTTAGGTTATTTAAATAAATGCAAATCAGAGAAGGGTTTAGTTATTTTTATTAAAAATTCTCGCCAAAAACTTTTTTGATAAAAAATAGATTAAATTCTAATTCTAGTTTTTAGTCTTACTAATAAATACTACTGAAATACATATAGGGAAATAATTTTTAACAAAAATTTAAATTAAAGATTTCGTGTTTTTAGATAAAAAAAATAATTTAAAAAACTTACCAATCCGGGTGGAGTCTTTTCCTTGTTTTTATTAAAAATTTCATTAGCTGAAAGTTTCGTGACAGGTGATAAAGTATTAGTATAATTGTTGTTGTTTTCATTTTGTTTGGAATGTTTTTGCCAAGTTGGAATGGGTAAATGGGATGCCCATTGAGTTGGGATTGTTCCTAGAAAGAAGAATTTTGAAATTTATTTACGAATTATTTTTTAATTTACTTGATTGTTTAACACTCCAACTATTAGCTCTTGAAAAATGTTGTTGTTGCTTTGAATTGTTTAGATTGTTTTTAGTAGTTTTGGGTGTTGAATTTGGTGATGATGAATGTTGTTGTTGTTTTGGTGATTTTGTAGTTGATGGAGAATTTGATTTTGCTTTACTTTCTGCTTTTTCTATACTTTTTTGCAATTCAAAATCACGAAGCTTTAAAAAAATTTAAATTAAATTAAATTATGTATTCCATAAAACAAGTAACGGGGATTTTTACCTTTTCCTATGAAAGGAAAAGGTAAAAATGAAAGGAAACCTGACCGATTTCAAAGATTATAACCATTCTCGACTGTTATCTTATTAATTATTATCCACTTTATAAATCACTTTTGACTTATTAATGTCCCCTATAAATACTCATCCCAAATTAGCAGAAAGTAAATATTTAAAATATTTCAAAAATGAAACAAAAATTGATGAATCTAAGATCTGGCAGTATTTTTCATGTACCAGTATTTAATTTTAGAATACTAAATACAAACTTGTCTCAAAACATTAACAACAAGCTGATCATCGTCAATTTTTAACACTTTTTTTGAAGTTTCTAAATCAGCCTGTCCATCAAGAAGAATGTGCCGATACAATTTTGCGCGTTTTAAAGCTTCAGCTTCTTTGTTAGCTTGTTGTATACCATCCAAACAAGCTTGATTGTATTGATCTCGAATCTGATTTTTATTAATAATTATTTGTAAAGTGTTAAAAAATGGAATATTTTTCAAAATATTCTAGTCATTAGGATCGGATAAGTGAAACGAATCAAACCGAATGTTTTTGGTTTGGTTCTTCCATTCGGTTTTGTGCACCTGAAGGAGAGAGTCAGATTTAGTCAAATAGGATCTAGTTAGTTTAAAAAAGTTTGGTATTCAGGTTCAAATTCAATTTAAAAAATTTGTACAGCTTAAAAAAGCAAAAATGAAGATATTTACTCTGTAATATGTACTTCTATGAGGTAATTTTAATTTAAATTATATCAAAAATTCATTCTTCAAGATTTCTCTAATATTATTAAATTTTTTATTTTATTTCAGGAGGGACAATAGTCTTTCATATTTTGTTATCCCTCTCTATCCAATTTTAAATTAAAAATTATTTACTTCAAATTTTTGTGTTCTTTTCTGTTCCTCAGCTGCTCTTTCTTTCTCTTCACGTTCAAATTTAAGTTTAGCTTCACGTTCCAAAACTTTCTGTTCCTCTAAACGTTTTTCAGCCTCAATCATTTCTGTCATTTTCTTCTCTTTTACTTGTTTATCCAACTCTTCTTGCCAATAAATATTTGGAGAATTTAAATTATTTTTTGTTTGTTTATTAAATAATTCTTCGTTAGATGGAGTAGTTATTACATCTTTTGATGATGAATTGGCACTATCCGTAGAGGAAATTGAGTAAGGAGGTGTTTGGAGTAATGGAATTGGCATTTTCTTTAAAAAATAAACAAAATAAAATTTAGGTCATAAATGTGTTTGGAAACGATGCAAATAAATACTTAATTATTTCTGAACAATTTGACTAAGGGATCCCATTATTAGAATTGTCTTAAAAAATCATGCGTTATCAGAAACCGAACCAAGAACCGAAGGAAAAAATCCTCGGTTCTTTGGTTCAGTAAGTTCCGAGATATTTTGGTTCCGGTTCCGGCCAAATTTGCGGTCTCGGCAAAATACTAATATGTTATGATTCGAAAAAGGAGGATTGTGTTTATTCAATTTAGACAATAAATTTTTAACTAAATTTAATTTGAGAATTTTCAGATAAAATTTAATGGTTTTCAAATGGGTCATTAAATATTAATTTATTCCTCTAGAAATTAGTTTTAAATTTTAAACAGAAATATTTAATGAAAAAAATCAAATTAAAAACTTGAGGCAAGTAAAGAGGGTCTATAAAAGTTGTTGTAGGCCCAGAGAAAGTTATTGGATTCTGATAATTATTAGGAGATTGAATAGGAATAAAATTATTAGGTAAAGTAAATATATTTTGTTGTTGATTGTATTGAGGAATAAATTGTTGTTGAGTATGAAAATGGCCAGTTAAAGAATAATCTACAAAAAATGGAAGCATTGTTGGCTGGCAAATATTTATTGGTGATTGGGGGGAAGAAGTGTTTTGGGGTGGTTTTTGGTTATTTCCAAAGAAATGTTGCTGTTGTTGTTGTTGTTGACCCTCAGTTGTTGGACTGCTAGTTTCGATTTTGAAACTATTGTTTTTGTTAAACTAAAAATTATTTTTTTCAAAAAAAATTTTTGGATAAAATTACTTGTTCATCATTTCTGAATTTATCATCGTCATTAGTCATATCTTTTTTATATCCAAAAGATTTGTTACTTTCATTCTTTTTATTTCTTCGGTCGCCAAATGGAAACCAGCTGTTTTGATTTGCTTCAGCTATTTTAGAAAAAATGTCAAAAAATTATTTTTAGTTTAAAAATTAATATTCACATATATTTAATAATTCTTGACTAAATTACCTAATTAATCCAATATTTCTTTGCGAGGTAGGGTAGAAAATTTCCCATACTCGAATCTCGTATTAAAAATAGGTATTTTTAACACCCTACTTCGTACTTTTATCTATTATCTTAAATTTTTTGGGTACCAGAGCTAATCAAGGCCAGTAGAGCATGACTACGAGTGCAAATTTTGGTACTACTTACAATATCAATCTTATTAAACTATCTAATGTAATTTAAACAGATTTTAACAAATTCTTCATTTAAAAACAAAATACCCAAAGGAGGATTTTATAAAATTTACCCTTTTCCTTATCCCATTGTTCACGTTTTTTTCTAATTAAAGACCCATCTCTCGCGTGAAATCCATTTTCGCCAGGAAGTTGGGTGATTCGTTGTTGTTTTGGAGGTGATTGACGTGAGTAACTAATTTGTGCCATTTAATCAACAAATATTTAAATTTTTAAAATTTTATTTAAATTGTTGGTTAGATAAATATTTTTGAATATTTTTTAAATTTATGACTAGGTTATTAAAATTATGAAAAGAAAGAATAAGGTAAAAATAAGAAAAAAATGTGGAAAATATTTCAAAAATAAAAATATATATTAAAATAATAACACGATTTTTGTTATAAGAAGTGAAAAAAGTATGTATATACATCCTCGAATTTGTCAAAATATTCCATCTATTTTATGCAATCTCCATATTTAATAATTTAAAATATTCCGAGAAATAATTTTTTATTAAAGAAAGGATTAATGATTTAAAAATTATTTAAAAATAGGGTATTTATAAATAACAAGCCAGATAAAACCCTTAAAAGAGAACAATCAAAAACAATAGTTAAAGATTAAAAATATTTATAATATTTTTAGCACATAAATTTTAATTTTTCCATTTTATGAAAATCCCGTACTCCTAGATTTTATAATTTTGCCCGTCACAATAAATACGAAATATTCTATGTAATATATTCACATTCTATAGACATACATATTTAATTGTCAGATTTAAATAATATATTAATTTATTAAATATCCAAAATATTGCGGCTTTCATTGGATATTCACAAAAATAACGTTATTTTAGTCTAATTACATGAAAAATACAAAGAAAAATAAAAAAATAAATAAATGGGCGGCGCAAACGGTAAAAACACACAAAAATAAATATCAAAAAACTCAAGATGTTCATTTAGTTTTGTGGACAGGTTGTTGTTGTTGTACAGAAGAGATATAGGAATAATTAAAAAAAAAGAGATGGAAGGAAGGGAAGGATATATGGGTACTACTGAAGATAAGGGTGCTATTTCTGCGGACTTATTTTGCGGACTTTTCCTTTCCTTTACATGTTTTACTTGTAGCAACTAACTGTCAAAGGCCCTCCACCCTATTATTTTTCTTACCTAAGATTGTACATAAAGGTCAAATTTTCTTCTTCCCCTCCTTCCTCTATTTGCCCTGTGGCATATTCAAACAAGAGACATTGATAAAGAGAAGATTAATTTTATAGTCATACACTTATTTTTTGCCTCCGAAAACGATGTTAAACAAAAAAAGAATTAAATAAAATTGATTTAGTCTATAACATTATGAATTTCTGTGTAAAAACATTACATTCTTACTTATATTTAAAATAATTTAACAACTGAAAAAAAATTGAACTCAATATTGAACAACTCAATTACCGTATTTCCTAAAATAGTACTCCCCCCTGAATTAGCACTCCCCCCTTAAATAATACTCCCCTTTGGAGGAGGGTTGAAAAATAGTACTCCCCCCTGAATTAGTACTCCCCCTAAAATAGTACTCCCTCCTAAAATATTTTTCCCCTATATTTGAAAAAATTATAAAAGACTCATTAAATTATTTCATTTACTCTAATTATGGTTGTCGGTTTCAATTAATTCTTTGTTAACCGAAACCGAACCGATAAAACGAAAACCCGAACCGAAACTTCCTGTTAACCGAAATCGAACCGTAAATTTGTTGAGGATTAAGGAGATAGGTATATTGTGATTAAGTGGCTGGATAAAAGTGGATTTGAGGGATATAAGTGTATTGATATCGGGTGATAAAAGGGGTTCTGAATTGATCAGGCGAGTTAAAAGATATCATTGGATTAAAAGCGGAAAAGGAATTTGAGGGAATAATGACGGATGAGTCATATTAGTAGTCTTTTGTTGATTAAGCGTGATTAAGAGATAAAATTGAATCATGAATCCTCCTCAACCCAACGATTTTATTTCGATACCTCTAATTCAAGAATTTTCAGATATCCAAATTACTGATCTCCAACTTACATAATTTGATCCCTTGATATTACGCCAAATATGGATATCATAAGATTCGAAGGGATATCGAAAGAACAAAAGTGATGTATCAATTTTCGATATCCACCTTAGTCCAAAGCATGCTTCACTCTTAATTGTTTAAATCCCCTTATAGCTTAAATCCCCACTCCAAATCCACTGATATACTTCTTGATATCCCTCAATAATCCTTATTTTAAGTCACTTGTGTTTAAATGTCCTGCCATGTGCTCAATTTTATAATAATTTGGATATTTTTTGCGAATTATAAAGGAATTTTTTTTGAAAATCTATGTACGGATCCAGCATTTTTTAAATTAAGAAATCTAATTGATTTAGACATTTAGAATTTTGAAATAAATTTTCCCAAGATAAATCAGTGAGGAAGGTTGAAAAATAGTACTCCCCCCTGAATTAGCACTCCCCCCTTAAATAGTACTCCCCTTTGGAGGAGGGTTGAAAAATAGTACTCCCGGGAGTACTATTTTAGGAAATACGGTAATTTTATTATTCTCTTTAACAATGTTTCTGGTTTGAATATGCCAAGCTCAAATAGAGGAAAGAGAGGAAGAAGGAAATCTGACCATTTTGTACAATCTTAGGTAATAAAAATAATGGAGGGGGGGGGGGCAAGGTTTGAAATTACCCGCATTTTGATCCACATTCACATATTTTCTATGAAGCATTCCGAGATCAGTAATTCATAGTTGAAATTCATTCATCATCGTTTATAATGTTCAAATTAATGGTGAACACATTTTTCAAATTGGCATAAAAATTAATCCTTTGACAGTTAGTTGCTACAAGCAAAACTCGCTACAAGCAAAACATTAAAAAAGAAAGAAAGGAAAAGTCTGCAAAATAAGTCCGCAGAAATAGCACCCTTTTCTTCAGTAGTACCGATATATGTTTTTACCTTTATTTATTTAAAAAAGATAGGCAAAGTTAGCAAAAAAGAGGAAAACGATATTGGTGTTTGTTGTTTTTTTGTTGTCGGGCCAGCCGGTCTAGTGGCTATCTAAAGTGCAAATAATGCCCAGAGATCGATTAGTAGTACTTGAATAATAGCTGGAAAAATATCTACGATTACACATTAAATAATAAAAACATGAGGAATTTTTAGAAATATTTTGGGGAAATTTGAGTAGGTTAAAGAAGAACTGTGTAATAATAAATTTACTGATTTTTAGAAATAAATTTTTGAAAAGAAATTAAAGGTTATTTATCCTTTTCCTCATTCAATTTTTAAAGGTAAAATTTAAAAAAGGGAAACAATGAGAATTAAGTACCAAAGGCCAGCCGTCTCCTAAGAGTTAAGGCTAGTAGATGATCATTTTCTAGTAGATGAAAGTTGTGTGTGATCAAAAATAAAGGATAACTTTTTTTGGATAAATCCAATCAAACAATGGAGAAATAACTGGAAATGATTGATTTTTTAAATATATTTTTAAACGAAAAAAAGAAAGAATGGCATCCATTAATATAAAAAACGCGGGTTTAACGTACAGTCAAAGAATTACAGGCAGGAATCGATTGAGAGAAGGAATAGTTGGGGCATTGGAACAGCAGGGGATTGTTGGGTTAAGGACGGACACCTGGGAAGAGTAGCCGCCCAAACCTTTTAAATATCTTATTATTTTTGTTGTGTATGTGAGTGTGAATGAATGAATAAAGACAAAAATGGTAAACACATAAAATAGTATTTAAACTTTTAGATATTTTATCAAGGTTAGATCAAATTAACGACATATGTACCGTATATGCTCGAATAATTACCCTCTCTCAAATAATTGCCCCCTCTCAATTAATTACCCCATGTAGCGAGAGGTTGAAAAAATAATTACCCCTCCTAAAAACAGTTATAATTAGCCTGTTTAAAAAAAGCTCAAATAATTGCCCCCTCTCAAATAATCACCCCATCTAGCAAGAGGTTGAAACAATAATTACCCAGGGTAATTATTCGAGCATATACGGTATGTATGTATAAATTAAATTTTTAACAAAAATAAAATCTTGCTAATCGTTTTTAAAATCTGACCAACATGAAAGGAATTAAATAATAGCTGTAGTAAGGGCTATTATTAATTCCAATTCCCAAAAATCAGGGGAAAATTCCCGAATCGAAAATTTTTTTGTCAGCTAATCCCTGATCTTCATATACCTATTCAAATAGGGAACTAAATATAAGTTAATATTGAAAATTCGATTCTGTACTAAATTCTGGTTTAACCTAGTAGTTTTTAGACTAATGTAAAACAGAAAAAATAGTAAAAGTTCAAATCTTAATTAAATTATTAAAAATATGTACATATCTTTATTAATAATTAAAAAAATTTGTTTAATACACTTGTTCTAGTTACATTAAACTAAGCAAATTGATTATGAAATAAAAATTTTATTTTTAAATATTAAATAAAATTCTACATATAAAGATCTAATCGTAAATAAAAATTTAGCTATATTTTTGAAACCAAAGAAAAACTTGCAATTTGTCTCTGTGACAAAGCAGGTTATCCAGACGTCCCAAATGGC